CCTCTGTCTTGCTCATTTCTAGGGAGAAGATCTCACTGCCGGCGATGGCTGTGAACGGGGTGTCAGGACCCAGGGCCTGCGCCATGCCTGGGGAGAGGGAAGTCCGGGTGGGTGGCAGTGGCCCTAGCACCAGGTCCCCTAACACCTACTCTGTGGCAGCACCAGCTCTTTGCGCTATGGGGCAGACAGGGTGATGCAAAGAAAGCCAGGGACAGAGGCCTCAACAGGACACTGGGTTAGAAACCACACTGCCCAGAGGTTCAACTTTATGACACTATAATCTTACCAGCACAGGGCCAGGCCTTCTCTATGGTGTGAGGCCTGGGGTCAGAAGGCTACAGCAGGGCTGTGCCTCCAATGGCTCCAAGCACTGAGCTCCCCTCCCAGCAGTCATTGCCTAGGGCTCTGCTCAGCTCTGAACCAAGTCACACAGACAGAACTGACCAGTGTACAGTGGGAACTTTTCCCGGTCCCCTTTTCAGATGTGCCACACTTGGTGCCCAGAGATCCTGCCCCCTGCTCTCTGTCCGGGACACTCCTAGGCATCCTGCAAGTCTTAGCTCAGGTACTGACCTATCTGGGAAGCCTCTTCTGACAACCATGTCCTCCCCCAGGAGGGGCAGGAGCCTCCTCTATTCATTACAGTCCCACCACGCTGGGAGGGACTGTGTCCACAACCACCTCCCCCAGACAGGCAGCTCCCTGACTTTAAGTCAGGGCTTGGGTCTCACTCATCTGTGTGTCCCCAGCGACTGGTCAGGGACTGGCACAGCAGAGGGCTTGAATGAGTGCTGCTTCATCTGAACTGAAAACCTGGTTCTTATCTCGATTCTCACTGCCTGTCTCAGTCTGAGCACGAAGGGGGGAGTGAGTGGGAAGAGAGAAGGGTTGAAGGAGGAAGAGATGCCCAAGTAGGGTTTGGAAGAATGGATAGCAGTTCAACAAGAATGAGGGGCAGTTATGAGTAAAAAGACCTTAAATTGCTAGTGGGTTGCAAAAGAGACTGCTGGTTGTCTAATCAATGCCCATCTTTTCCTTAGTTCGAGAACTCCCATTGTATTAAGGTAGCAGGGGTTCAAATTAAAATATAAAAATTTATTTTAATGTCTCACTCTCCCTTGCAGCAGAGTGTGACCACAGGATTAAGTTCTAGTCAATAAAATATGAGCAAAAGTGTGTGGGCAAGGCAAGTGCTTACAGGAGCTACATCTAGGAGGTACAACCTTACTGTAATTCCTCTTTCTTCTTCCTGCTACACGAAGTATGGTGGGAAGGCTGGGGCTTATGCAGCCCTCTTGGAACACGAGGTGACCCCCACTTGGAAACAAGTGCAGAGAATGTTGAGGCGGGATGGTAGAAGACTTCATGGAACTGCTCGACAAGCCCTAAATGGCCTGAGTTCAGATTCTTCTACGTGAGTGAATGAACCGTGTGTGGTTAAGCCACAGCCATTTCTGATTATCTGTTAAATGCATCTGGATCTGATTTTGACTTACACGGGAGGGATTATCTGGCACAGGCCAGAAGAGCTCATGTCCCGAGAGGTCTCTTACCCATGGCAATGGCTGTCTTCCCGGTGCCCGGCTGGCCGGCGATGAGGACAGCCCGCCCGGCAATCTTCCCTTCCCGGATCATCTCCAGCACCACACCGGCTGCCCGCCGGGCCGCCAGCTGGCCGACCATGCCCTGGGAAGCCTGTGGGGTGGGAGGCGAGAGCACACCAGGTGACTCCTACTGGGCTACCCCAGCATTTCTACCACCTCCTGGCTCGTGAGATGAAAGCAGATGTTGACTGGGACGTCAGGGAAAAGCCAAAAAACCTTTTGAAACCCAATTTTTTAAAGACCAATAAAACTCTACATGTGGCTGAATTTTATAAATATGTAGCTAAAGGTCTGGAAGAAATAACAGTCCCCATATTCCTGGGGACCCTCAGTACCCTCCACCTGAGGCCTCCCACCAGGGAGCAGGCTTCACACCCCACCCTGATCAGCTCTACCTGCCGAGGCTCCAAGGCATCGTCCAGCCCCAGTCCCCGGATGTGGGAGTGAGCACCTGTGTGCAGAGAAAGAACCAGAAGACAGTTATTGGTCAGCTCACAATAGCGTGTGTCCTGAGGTAAGGGGCTTCCCCTCTGGGCCCTGGTTTGGCCAAATGGGGCCCCAAATCCCCACCTCACTGTAGGGATGGCAGAACATGTTAAATGCTCAGTAAATGAGAGGGGCTCTTCTTAGAATACATCAAAGCAGGACCCAAATCACCAAGAGCTGGTTAAACACTGAATCAGATTAGGTAACCAGGAAGGCTAGCGATCACTATTACTTAGTGTTTCTGACCTAAGTGGCCTCAGGACCCTCCTCCATCAGATAGGGGAATGGTATGCAGGCTGCATGCCTCTTAGGGGTCCTGGGCAGGTTGGCTTTCCAGGGGTGCACAGGGTAGGCAGGGTCTATAGCCCTTTTCCTGATCCATGCTCACTCACCAATACGCTCAATCCTCGTCACATCACGGATCTCTGGGACCTTAGTTGTGGCTGCCTGAGGAAGACATGTCAGAAGAGCCCTTGTCACCCCAGTTCCCACCTACTCCTACTCTGTCCTTCCTGCCAGCTCCCATGAGAAAGTCCCTTCCACTCCTCCCCACAAGCAAGCTGACAGCCCCAACACCAGTCACTCCCACTCTCTCAGCTATTGCCAACTAATGCTGGCTGGTTGACCCCACTACACTGTGAGTCCCAGGAAAATGGGGACAAGGTCTATCTCTGGATGTCCTGACAGAAGGAAGGGCCTCCCTTGGGAGTCTGATATCCATGTGTAATCTCACTTTCACAAGAGAAACCACTGGATCCATGTTCTTGGCTCCACTGGATGTGTGTCCCATGGAGGGCTCAGTGTTTGGGGTTTGAATGAATGATGTACTAAAGTACATTCAAAAGGCAGGTACTAGGGCCCCCTGTTGTCCTTGGGTCTCCAAAGAGAGAAGCCAGCCACCATCCCTTCTCATGTAGGGGAGACAGATGAGTAAACACTACGTGGGACAATTTAAGAACCCACTGGAGATCCATGTGAATGTTAATAATAGCATTACTCATAACCAAATGTGAAAACAAACCAAAATGTCTATGAACTGATGAACAGAGAAATAAAATACGGTATAGCCATATAATAAATTATTCAGCCATAAAAAGGAATGAAGTTCTGATTCATGCTACAACATGGGTGAACCTAGAAAACATTATGCCGAGTGAAAAAAGCCAGGTACAAAGGACCACATATTGTATGATTTCCTCCCTTGCTGTTTGTGGCCCCTCCCACATACTCTCTCCTCATAAGTATGGAACCCAAGAGCATTGGTCACTGCCCCCGAGCCACTATCAGAAGACAGAACATACCCCTACACAGCCCATCAGATCCTGAGGCCAAAAATTGACATGGATCCAGGAATCCCAATTCTTAGCAATCCCAACTAAACAGATGCACCTCTTACAAGGCCTTTCCTTCCACCATAAGCCTCTCTGATTGATCCCCTGCTGACCATTAACCCCATAGAAACAGAAGTCATTTTAAAACTCAGCACCCACCAGCCCCTCATACTTCCAAAACTTCGTCCACACCCATGGGAACCGGTTCTCAGGAGTATGGCCACTGCCCTTTCCTTTTCTGCTTCCCTATTTACCCCCGTGCCATGGAAACAGCAAGAATCAAATTTCATCCCCCCAAGACCCAGTAACTCTCACCTCCGCCCTTCCCTCATCTGGAGCCACCATGGGAACCCAGGCATCTGGAAGCTAAGACCACATCCTTTCTCCATTCACACGTTTCTTGAGCAAGTACTTGGTGCCAACCACAGTGTACCTGGTCTCTCTTTTATGGAGTACACATTCATTCAAAGATTCAAGTGATAATTTACTGAGCATCCATACTGGGCATGTCCTATATGAGGTGTTGGAAATATGAACGGGCCCGAGCCCTTTTCCTTCCCCACGGACACCCTCTGGGTTCTCAACACTCTTTCTTTTGGCTCAAGATTCCCTAAGTGACTCGACACTCTCAGGCACACAGGACATGTCCCGTCTGCACTTCTCCCTGGTACTCAGGTGCCACTCCCACCATTAACAACTCAAAGATTTCTGGATGGCTTGGGGCCCAAGACACTAAAATACTCAACAGACTTTAGGGCAAAGGACTGCAGAACTGGCCACTGAATGCACCCTCAGGACCGGAAGTTGGAGTTGCTATCAGAGCTGACCACTGAGACCATAAACATCCACTGGACCCCACGATTCCGGGAAACCAGCTCTTTCTTTTCTCCTCCCTCAGACCCGGAGTCCAGGCCCCCAGCCCCTCCTCCCTCATACCCGGAGTCCAGCTCCCATCCCCTTGTCCCTCAGACCAGGAGTTCGAACCCCCAGCCCCTCCTCCCTCAGACCGAGGAGCCCGAGCCCCCCGCGCCCTCCTCCCCCAGATTCAGGAGAGCGGGGCCGCTCCTCAGCCCTCCGCACGCCGGCACTTACCACGGTTGCCATGATGCTCACCAACCGCTAATATCCTAACGGAAACGGAAACGTGCTAAAAACGAGGCGTTCTGGCCCCTCTAGACTGTCAGATCCTCCAAGGTCTCGGTGGTTCCTCATAAATATGCAAACTCTCCTTGTAGGGCGAGTCGTCACTTTTTAGGCCGAAACTCCTGGGTCGGTTCCCAGCGCCGCCTGGCTCCTCCTCCTTTTACCCAAGCCTCCTTGCTGAGGCCGATTGCAAAATTCTTACCACTTCTGTGAGCAACCACACGTCCCCCACGCTCCCTTTCCTCCCTATTCCACCCACTTCCCTCCACCCGCAATTTAGGGGCTCAAGCTCCGGATTGGCAGAGCTAAAGCCCAATCAACTAGCACAGCGATCGCCGCGGGACGGAGCGAGCCCTACGCCGTCCACCAATGAGAGACGTGGGAACCCCGCCCCGGGCGCAGACCAATGGCGCTGGCCGGGGGGGCGGGCGCCGCCTCCTGGCGGCCGCAGGGTTTTACTGCAGGGGCCCCGCAGGGCTCAGTGACGCTGCGGCCGCCTCCTGCCTAGGTCCGGGGGTGCGGTCGTGCAATAGGAAGCCGAGGGCGTTGCAAGCTTCCCTTCGGGCATCAGCTACCTGGCCCCACGTCTTGCGGGGTGCATTCCAGAGACACCTCCGGAGACCCCACCTGTGCTCCCTGGAACTCCCTTCGCGCGTCCGCCATGCCTCTAAGCCGCACTTTGTCCATGTCCTCACTGCCAGGACTGGAAGATTGGGAGGATGAATTCGACTTGGAGAACACAGTGCTCTTCGAAGTGGCCTGGGAGGTGGCCAACAAAGGTGAGCACGCCAGGCTGCGGGACTCGGACGAGAAGAGCAGTCGGGGATGGGGGCCGGGTACTCTTGCGTGATCGGGGAACAGGGCTACACAGCATGACTCTTGGGTTCTGGGCCAGGAGCCTGTGACTCCTGTGTCCTTGGGGAGGGTCTGGGATATGTCTCCTGCGCCCTGGAGGGGTGGAGATGAGTCTCCTGACTGTGAAGATGAAAGGAAGCTGGAAGCTCCGGTCCAGGGTCCTAGGGAAGAGGGGCTAACCTGAAAGATTCCTAGGGCCCAGAGGGAGGTTTCTGAGAGAGCTGGGTCCTGAGCAGGGAAAGAGATGGGGGGTTGGTACTTCTTAGTGCAAACCTGGGAAACGGCTGAGGTTCAGACCCCTGAGCCTCCGGATCTGGGAGCGAGCTGACTGGGAAATAGAATGCATAAGTCGTGGTGTGAGAATGAGGGAACTGGTCACTTGAGAGAAGAGATGGGAGAGGACTGGAGGCCCTAATTCTTAGATCCTAGGGTGGGAGAGAGTTGGGTGGCTGAAGGCCTGAGCTATGGATTCCTGGAAGTAGAAGAGCCTGTGGCCACAGAGATTTGGATACTGGAATGAGGGAAGGCTGGGAAGTCCTAAGTTGGTCAGGGGCTGGGCCCTTGGATGGGAGTGGCTGGGGCCCTAGATTTCTGTGCCCCAGGCTTTTGAGGGCCTGAGATTCTGGGTGTGGAGAACCTGGTGGGGCTGGAAGCCCACTAGCTAGGCAGTCTTGCTCCTCAGAAGAGAGGGAGATGGGATTTTTTTTGCTTAGCTGAATCTTGGGAGAGAAAGGGACTGGGTCTTATACCATGGGAGGAGCCTGTGAACACAGAGCCATGTATCACCAGGGCCCAGGTTCCAGGAAGTAAGGAGGCTGGGGGCCCAGGCTCCTGGGTCTGGAGTGGAGTCTTGGGAGGGGCAGGGTCGCATGTGCCTGTGTCCCCAGTTGGGGAGAGGAGACTGGGGGACAGGTCAGCAGAGTCCCTGAAGGGCAAGGAATGACAATTCCAATTTTTCTTGGGTAGTTGTGGGAAGCTGAGTAGGACCCTAATGTGTCCTAAAGCCTGACTGAGAATTTAAAACCAGCTTGAGTAAGCTGAGAATTTGGTAATCCTCATCAGCTTCTGCCATCCTTGGGGCCCCAGCCCCTAATTCCCTTAGACCCAGGAGCTCAGGCGTCCAGCCCCTTCTCTCAGACTCAGAAGTCTAGCCTGAGCCCCCTGCTCCCTCAAAGCCCTTATCCCAGCCCCCTTCTCCCTTACACCCAGGAAGACTGTCCTCCAGCCCCTAGCTCCTCCTCCCTCTGACTCTGATGTATGGGCTCCCAGTCCCCTCTTCCCTCTAAGCCAGAAGTCCAGGGCCCCAGCGCCTCCCATGGCCCCCACCCTGCCCCAGGGCCCAGACCTGTGGACCTCAGCTGGGGCCTGTCCTTATGGGCTTGGGCCCACAGTGGGCGGCATCTACACGGTGCTGCAGACGAAGGCGAAGGTGACAGGAGATGAGTGGGGCGACAACTACTACCTGGTGGGACCGTACACGGAGCAGGGAGTGAGGACCCAGGTGGAGCTGCTCGAGCCCCCAACCCCCGCTCTGAAGAGGACACTGGACTCCATGAACAGCAAGGGCTGCAAGGTGGGAAATGGCTCCACTGAGGGCAGGTAGGTGGGTGCCTACAGTCAGGGTGGGAGCAGTAGACAGAGAAGGGATGGGGTGGGGGACACAGCCCCAGGCAGAGAGGAAGAAATGGATAGAAACACGGGATGACCTGGTACTTTCCCGAGCAGACATGGAGGAGGTATGATTGACACTTAAACAGATGCAGGACCCCATGAAGTGAGTGGGTGAACCCCAAGCTCTGAGACATTGGTAAATAGACAGACAGACAGACAGCAGGTACAAGACAGACTGAAGGATGGTTCTAGGAGGCCAAGATCCTCAGACCCAGAGAGAGAAAAAGAGCTAGATGGAAAGAAGGACAGCCAGCCAGAACCCAGGGGAGGTGGGCTTGGAGTGAGGCAGGTGGCCGAGTTGGTGTTCTAGTGTCTGAAGTTCAGATCTGGCTCCTCCACTTCCTGTCCGTGTGACCTTGGCTAACAGCCTCTGCCAGATGGGCTGTGGGAGGGTAAAATAGCTAATACAGCCTCCAGCTCAGGTCTTGGCGTGGAGCTAGCGCTGTGGGTGAGCTCTTGACATGATGGTTATTATTATCATCATCATCATCATTTCTATAAACAGCGAGCTTGCCGAGTGAGGTGGACAGGCAGACAAGGGAGAGAGATGGCTGGAGAAAGACTGAGTGTCCTAAAAGGTGACAGTGGCTCCCCCTACCCCCCCAGGGACTAGAGCAATAGGGAGGGAGACAGAGTCTAAATACAGAAGAGAGGCAAGCCGCTGTTTCAGAGAGAAACACCTAGAAGGAGAGAAGAAGAAGGAATACTGATGAAAGGAGGAGAGGTCAGCAGGCAGACCCAGGGGACAGAGTTTCAGCGGGCAGAGCCAGGGGTTAAAGAGAGGAAGGGAGAGTCCCAGGGCTCCAGGTGAGGGCTGAAGGATGAGCACAGAGAGGTGGCTGCCACCCAAGGAGAGGGCTGCGAGGCAGAGGGCTGAAGGACAGGCAAGTTGGGGCTTGGGAGAGAGAGGCACAGTAGTTCCTCCATTCATTCACAGGCTTCTGGTTTGGGGTGGGGTCTGGAGTCGGGTCAGGCCAGAGGTGTCCCCAAGGAACCCTAGAGCAGCCCAGCCCTCCCCCTATGGCAGCTGCTTCCCACATGCTGGGGGCCTAAGAATAGCCCCCCCAGCAAAAGGGCAGACAACAGCTGGGAGGGGGAGGGGCAAGGCTGGGAAAAGCAGGTTGGGGAGGAGGACTGCCCCTCAGCTGGATCGAGCTGTGGCAGCAGGCCCAGAACCTAGGCCGTGGTCCCGGGAGGGAAAGAAGCAGACCAGAAAATTGTGGCAGGGGCAGAAATGAGACGGTGAGACTTAGAAACATGGCGGTGGGTAGGAAAATGCAGCCCTGGGACAGGGAAAGAGAGTGGACGGTGGGAGAAATGTGTCTGTAGAGTATACAGCATGGGCCTAAGGGCGGAGGAAGGAGGCAGCAGGTGACAAATATGGTGAAAGGGTCCGAAACAAGACAGCGGGCGGGAGAAATGTGGCAGTGAGACCAGTAAAAGAAGCATCCAGTGGAAGGGCTTAGCAGCAGAAAGAAAAGATCGCGGCAGAAAGCGTCACGGTGGTGGAGGAGAGCAACGTGGCAGCAGGTCAGAATAGTGATGGGCAGGGTGGGAGGCAGGGCAGCGGGGCACAGGCACAGGGCTGCGGGACGTGTGGTCAGAAGCAGAGAAGCGGCGGCGGGTGAGAGCGCAGCAGTTACCGGAACTAAGCAAGGGACAGGAAAAATGTTGCAACGGAGATGGGAGAGACTGTGGCGGGCCCTGGCCCGTGTGGCTCAGCTGGAGCGTCATCCCGTGTGTGTACCCAAGGGTTGTGGGTTCAATTCCAGGTCAGGCCACATGCCTAGGTTTTGGGTTTGATCCCGGGTCAAGGCATGTATAGGAGGCGACCTGTCAATGTATCTCTCTCTTCCTCCCTCTCTAAAGTCAATTTTTAAAAAAAGAATAATAATGAACAGCAAAGAGAGAAATAAGGCAGCGGGTGAGAAATTAGCAGCAGATGCAGAAACGGTGGAAGAACGAGGCAGTAAGGCCAGACATCTGCCTGCTGGTGGGAGAAGCGCAGAGGCTGTGCCCAGAGACTGGTCAAAGCCTTAAGCCTCCCCTTGGGTCTCCCCAGGTGTATTTCGGGCGCTGGCTGATCGAGGGGGGCCCCCTGGTGGTACTCCTGGACGTGGGAGCCTCAGCCTGGGCCCTGGAGCGCTGGAAGGGGGAGCTCTGGGACACCTGCAACATCGGGGTGCCCTGGTACGACCGCGAGGCCAACGACGCCGTCCTTTTTGGCTTCCTCACCACCTGGTTCCTGGGTGAGGTAGGCCCCACTGCTGGTCCCCATGTCACTTATTTTGGCCCCAGGCCCAAAACTACAATGGCTGTCAGCCCCTGGCCAGGGGAGTCTGGGTGGGTCCAGAGGGGATCTGGTTTCTTCCAGGGCATTCTGGGAGTTGTAGGTCCTCTAATTCAAGGATTAACTCTAATCTTTGGGAACATGGACATCCAAGGACCCAGACTCTTTTTTTCCCTGGAGACCCAAATTCCAAACTCAGCTTTAGTCACTTTAACCTTCCAAGTATAGGAATTCTGAGCCATTAGCTCTTGGAAAGGTTGCCTGGCTGGAGGGCTCACCACAAACATTCTGGGAGTTGTAGTTCTCTAGTCTGATAGTGGTTGAACTTGGCTCTCAGATAGGGCCCTAGGTAGTTGGGAAACGCCAGCCTATCTGAGAACCAGCAAACTTGGTTCTGACCCCCTCTTAGGTTTTAAAAGGCTCAAGAAACTTCATTTCCCATGCCCTGGGATAAACAATTTATGAATTGGCTGCTTCTAGGGCATTCTGGGAGTTGTAGTACTTTAGCCAGTATTGAATTCAGGTCTACTTATGATTGAGATAAAGGGTCTCCAGGAATTGTGTCCAGGCCTTGGGAACACTAAAACTTCAGTCTTTCCAGCTCAGCCTTGCTGGGACTTAGAAGGTTGGCTAAAATAACCCCAAGTCCCATTAACCTCCGGGGATGAGGTCAGCTGGTCCAGCTGCCTCAAAAATGTATAGTTTCTTATCTTCTGGGGATTGTAGTGGGCCGCCATTCACACTTTGTAGTAGTTGTGATAGATTTACCTCTCCCCTGCTTCCTTGTCCATGTTGGGATTGCTGATTGTCTTCACAACACACGTGGAGACTCAGTGGCCCTGTCCCTGTTGCCCCACAGTTCCTGGCCCAGAGTGAGGAGAAGCCGCATGTGGTTGCGCATTTCCATGAATGGCTGGCAGGCGTCGGGCTCTGCCTGTGCCGTGCCCGGCGGCTGCCTGTGGCCACAATCTTCACTACCCACGCCACGCTGCTTGGGCGATACCTGTGTGCCGGTGCCGTGGACTTCTACAACAACCTGGAGAATGTGAGCTGGGAGCGTGGCCATGTGGGGGCTGCCAGTATTTCAGGACAGCCCAAAGCTGTCTGCAAAGCCCTAGGGGATCAAGCTCCCTCTTCAGGATTCAGGAGTCCCAAGTCCCTGTTGCCCTCTTCCCTCAGACCCAGGAGTCCAGCCTCCACCCTCCCCTAGGACCCCAGAGTCTGGACCTCCAGACTTCTACCCAGTTCTCCTAACCTGACTGCCCTTTCTTCCTGCCCAGTTCAATGTGGACAAGGAGGCAGGTGAGAGGCAAATCTATCACCGATACTGCATGGAGAGGGCAGCAGCCCACTGCGCTCACGTCTTCACTACTGTGTCCCAGATCACTGCCATTGAGGCTCAGCACCTACTCAAGAGAAAACCAGGTAGGTGATAGGCTGGGATCCCTAGACATGAATGAGGTGGTTGGCTATCTATGCCAAGGCCTGTACCATGGAAAGAGCAGGAACTACAACTCCCAGAAGGCCCTAGGTTGGTGACCTGAATATGAGGTGACTGTATACCCTAGAGGCTAATGGGAGGTGTAGTTTATATGATACTAATTTCAGAAATTGTAAAATTCTTTTATTGGCTAATGTAGATATTATATTGGTCTTCTGAAAGAAGCAGTGTTAGAACCACTTATTTTTCCCAGGTTATAGTATCAATTCTCAATGGACGTAAGGTGAGAATTACAGCTTCCAGAAGGCCTTTGGCTGGTCAGCTCCTTATATTTCTAGAATTTCACCCCAGGAGCTGATGGGGGTTGTAGTTTTTCAATGATGTGCTTTAATTTTTGTGAGGATAGAAAACTGTTGGGACCCTAAAAGAGGCTTGAAGGTAGAGGGTATATTCTGGGAGAAGCAGAGTGGAGATGTTTAATCATTTCCATCTCAGGGTCGTGTAGGGCAAACAAAAGAACTACAACTCCCAGAAACCCCAATGGGGATTAGTACCCTGTCTTGTTAGCCATTTGCAGGGGCTGATGGGAGTTGTAGTTAATGGGCAAGAAGGCATCTGAGTGGCCCGGCAGCTGGGTCACCAAGGGAACTCACAGAGGAGCTATTGAAACAAAGAATTTGCCAAAGGAAAGGCGTCTTTCCTTCAATTATTCATTCAACCACATTGATCTGAATAAAGACATGAAACATGGGCCCTTCTCCCTTGTTCCCAGATATCGTGACCCCCAATGGACTGAATGTAAAGAAGTTCTCTGCCATGCATGAGTTCCAGAACCTCCATGCTCAGAGCAAGGCCCGAATCCAGGAGTTTGTGCGAGGCCATTTTTATGGGTATGTGGGCCAGATACCTAGGTCCCTAGAGAGGAGGGGTTGGGAGCTCAGCCTCTTGAGTTCCTGAGCGCCAGGACAAGGGCTGAGTATTGATGGATCTTAGATCCCCATCTAAGGAGAAAGGAACCACAAACCTCAGGAGCCCCCATGATGCCTCCTCGCTGTCTGTGATATTCTTTGCCCCTGAAGCTTCTGGGGTTTGTAGTTTCGAGAACAGGACTCGAGGATGAGGGTCTCAGCTTCACCTTGCCTTATGGCCTCTTTAGGCACCTGGACTTCAACTTGGACAAGACGTTGTACTTCTTTATTGCCGGCCGCTATGAATTCTCCAACAAGGGGGCCGACATCTTCCTGGAGGCCTTGGCCCGGCTCAACTATCTGCTCAGAGTAAGTCCTGGGCTGCGAGGGGACAGAGGGAGGACAAGAAAATTGGTGTGTACTGGCTAGAACAGAGACCCAGGGAGGTGGGGGTAGGGAATCCTCTGTGTCAAGGGGCAGTATAGAGACCCAGAAAGAAGATGGGGTCCCAGGGGAGATGGCAACTCTGTCCTATAATTCTTGACAGAAAGGGGCATGGCAGGGTCCTATGTGTCTCGGTGGGTGGCCTCAGCCTCCTCCCGTGTGACCCTGACCTCCCCCTCCCCTCTGCCGCAGGTCAACAGCAGTGAGCAGACAGTGGTCGCCTTCTTCATCATGCCTGCTCGGACCAACAATTTCAACGTGGAAACCCTCAAGGGCCAGGCCGTGCGCAAGCAGCTTTGGTCAGCAGACTTCGGCCCGGGATCCCAGCTGTGTGCTTTGGGTCCAGTGTTTCTCCTGGAATCTCAGTTTTGTCATCTGTAACATGATCAACCTGCCCCACCGACTTTTTTAGTGAAGTCACTTGCTTAAGACACCTCCACTCGGGAGCAGTGAGAAGTCGTAGGCGGGACAAGTGCGACAGCACGGCCAGGGCTCTGATATCAAACCAGTGAGGTCTAACTCAGGCCACTGACCCTTGCTGGCTTTCTGACTTTAGGCAAACCACTACCCTCCCCGAGCCTCAGTTTCCTCATTTATAAAACCCACTCATTAGTCATCACATGTTCATCGAGCATCGAGCACCTATTGTGTGGCAGGCACTGTTCTAGGCCCTGGGAACACAGATAAAATCCCTGCCAGGGATTGAGCTTACTTTCTAGAAAATTCTGTAGAAAGTGCTCTAGCAAAAAAAAAAAAAGGGCACATGAATACGAGACAGGGTTGTCAGGACTGGCCACACTGATAAAGTGCCATTGGGTAGAGACCAATAGAGGAAACGAGGGAGGAAGCTCTGTGTGCATCTGGGGAACAACAGGGGGAAGAGCAAGTGCAAAGGCCCCTCTAGTGTGTATGAGAAGCAGTGAGGAGACCAGTGGAGTTGGAGCAGAGTGCCCTAGGCCCAAAAGCACAGAAAATGAGGCCAGAGCTCTGGGAAGATTATGAGCAGAGGGATGTCAGTGGGGCTGTAGGGTGATACTATTTGCTTTGTGTACATAAATTTTCTGTCAACATAAATTTCCCTTATAAAATGGGGCTTAGCCTGGCGACTGCCAGGACTAGTACCGGTTCTAATAATAGCTGACATTTCTGGAAGGCTCACCGTGTGCTGGGCACTGCGCACTTTTCCACACGACCTCATCAAGTTCTCACTGCAAACCTCTAAGGTTGATTCTATTTTTATCTTCATCTGACTGATGAGTCACTGAAGTCAGAGAGGGAAGGCCACCTTTCCCTGGCCACACAGCTGATGCAAAGCCTTCCAGGGCCTGATCCCTGAGTCCCCACCCTCCAGCCCGGAGTCCCCAGGGCTCTGCTCAGACCTGTTTCCCAGCTGCCCTAGAAGCCTAACAACAAATGGCTGGTGTGTATGTGATGTTGTTCTGCTCTTTCTAGGGATACGGCTAACACAGTGAAGGAAAAGTTCGGACGGAAGCTTTATGAATCCTTGCTGGTGTGAGTGCCCCACCCTCAGCCCTGCCTGGGTCTGGGTTCTGGCCCCCCTCCTTCACCCCTTCTCAGATGCATACCCCTGCTCACCCTGCAGGGGGAGCCTCCCGGACATGAACAAGATGCTGGACAAGGAGGACTTCACTATGATGAAGAGAGCCATCTTTGCCACACAGGTATGGCAGAGGAATGACAGTTCCCAACAGCCCCAGAGGCAGCTTGCCCTGTTAGCTCTGACCCAAGGGATTGCTGGGAGTTCTGCTTTATTGGGCGACTCTTAGGGGGGAATCAATTCTGAGATACACAAAAGGGTGTGAGTTCCTGACTGGTGGAACTTCAATTCCCGGAAGACTGGGGGAAGTTAAAGTTTCTTTGAATTTCTTTGATGATAGAGCCAAGAATACAGAACAGGATAGCTACAGTTCCTGTAGTCTTTGGGGCTTGTAACACTGGCTCTGCCTCAAAGACAGCTGGGAATTGTAGTTTCTTTTTAGCTTATGGTGGTTCAAAGGAAAAGAGAATCTTTACAGATAGAGCCAAGTAGGGAGTCTCTAATTCCTGGTAATCTCTTGGGCTTGTTGGGCCACAGACTGGTGGGAATTGTAGTCTCCTTGGATTCCCAAGTTCAGCGTGTCCCTTCCCTGACCCCCACCCCACTTGTGGCCCTTACAGCGGCAGTCTTTCCCCCCTGTGTGCACCCACAATATGCTGGACGACTCCTCAGACCCTATCCTGACCACCATCCGCCGAATTGGCCTCTTCAATAGCAGTGCTGACAGGGTCAAGGTGAGGGCACTGTCAGGGTGGGTTGGGCAGGGCTGGAGGCTGGGGGAGCCTGGGCCTCACCTTCTCCATCTTACCTAATTTATCAAAGGACTTCTGTGTCTAGAAAGAACCTTAGCTTTGGAGGCAGGCAGACTGGGATTCAAATCTTTGTCCTGCCAGTGATTTGTGTGACTTGAGACATGTTTTTCACCCTCTCTGGGCCACTCTGGAACCCCAGACAGGAGCAAAATAGGGTGCCTTGGCCTGAGCCCTTCTTTTTTACTGCCAGGTTATTTTCCACCCAGAGTTCCTCTCCTCCACCAGCCCCCTGCTGCCCGTGGACTATGAGGAGTTTGTCCGTGGCTGCCACCTTGGGGTCTTCCCCTCCTACTATGAGCCGTGGGGCTACACGCCGGGTGAGTACATCATGGCACTGGGGTGCTGGTCAGATCTGGCATGATCCCCAGACAAGGTACCTGCTCCGTCTGAGCCCCAAACTCCTCCTGTGCAAAACAGGAGCAATGGCAAGACTGTTCTGCTACAGCATGTCTCTGGGACACAGTATCTCATGTGATGCGGAACTGGAGGACTGATGTCACAGCTCACATGTGACTTCCCCCAATTTGCTGACATTTGCGCCCCTCCCAAATAACAACAGCTTAATGCACAGTCCGCTAACACAACTGAATATGGCAAAGTCTCCCTGAGCTGACCCCAGTCCCCAATGGCTCCACCTTCCTCCTGTTGGCTCCTTTGGAACATGGGCTCTAAGTCGGAACAGCTTATTTACAATTCTCCTTCATTTCTGGCCACTTTGCCATGGTCTCCCCAAACTCAAGCCTCCTCACACCCTTCTCTATCAAACTACTTTCATATGCTTTTAAGGCTAAATAAATACTACATTTGCTGTAGTATTAATTTATGAGTAATTTTTTAAAAAATTTATTTTTAATTCTCACCCGAGGATATGTTTTTATTGGTTTGAGAGAGAGATGCATCAATGTGATAGAGAAACATCAATTAGTTGCCTCCCGTAGGTGCCCCAACTGGGGATTGAACCCACAACCCGGGTACGTGCCCTGACTAGGACTCGACCCCGCCACCTTTTGGTGGTAAGGGATTAGGCTCCAACCAAGCCACACAGGCCAGGGAAATTTATGAGTAATTTAACAAGTCTTTTAAACTATGCTTGCATGATAATTAGGAATTTTGCCAGTTTTCTTTCATCCATGGTTAACAGGGTGCATGGGTTTTGTGTGGTCGGCCCCTACCCTATTTTCCCCATCAGTCCTGTTATATTTAGTGTCTGTTTTTGTAACTTAACAGAAGTTTTTAGAGACATTATATTAGAATTATAATAAACTCCTTGAAGCATATCTCAGTGCTGTTTAAGGTAGTAAACAAAGCATAGTATTTACTCTGTACACAGCAATAGTAACAATGAGAGACCTTTTCTTACCTCTTGTCGAAACAGCCTATTAAGCTATGATAACCAAAATGGTATGGGCTGGCACAAGAAAGTATCTTCCAGGTTGTGAGGATTAACTAGAATCACAGACATTGGCCCGGAGCAAGGCAAGTGAATTTCTTTTTCTGAGCCTCTCAGCTTCCCCTCTAAGAAACAGGGACTATAATAGTCTAACGCACAGCCTAGGTTTTCCAGCTCCTGACTTGCTCAGCACAGTGCCCGGCACTTGGTAAAGGCGCCAATAGAGGGCGCTGTTGAGGCTTCTATTGAACTATAAGACAATTAAGAGTGGAAAGCTAAATGGGCCTTTCTCACGCCTTCCCGCAGCTGAGTGCACGGTTATGGGCATCCCCAGTATCTCCACCAACCTCTCCGGCTTCGGCTGCTTCATGGAGGAACACATCGCAGACCCCTCAGCATACGGTCAGCGCCCAGCCTGAGAACCGGGACTCTTGGATCCTGGGAGGAGGGGCCCTGGTGTCACAGAGTCCCAGGGAAAAGGAAGGTTTCTCCAGTCTGTTTTCTGAGTCCCCGTCCTGGTACCAACAGGCATCTACATTCTGGACCGGCGGTTCCGCAGCCTGGATGATTCCTGCTCGCAGCTCACCTCCTTCCTCTACAGCTTCTGCCAGCAGAGCCGGCGGCAGCGCATCATCCAGCGGAACCGCACCGAGCGCCTCTCCGACCTTCTGGACTGGAAATACTTAGGCCGGGTATAACTAACTCCCTTCCCTGCCCTGTGCTGGTGAATCAGCTGCTTCCATTGTGGCTCTCTGGTTCTTCAGTCGCAAAGGCCAGGTCTCCTCCTGCTTGTAAAGGTTGCTGTCCCTTTAAGAAATCAATCAACTTCTGCTGGAAGACTCCATTGGCTCAACGTTCTGCTATTTGCATAACAGCGTGGCCAGAGAAGCCGGACGCGGCGTCCATTCGCAGCTCTGCTATCTGCATAAGGGGTGGAGTCAGAAAATGGATCATTGGCTTAGGCCAGAGATTTTCAACCTTTTTCAACACATGGCACACATCAACTAATTACTAAAATTCTTTGGCACATCAAAAACAATGTTTTTCTGATCTGATCGAAAAATAGGTATAATCTTGATTCGTTCACACCCGGCCGGCTGTTATTTTTTTATTTGACAATCTAGTGCCCCCTGACGAAACAGTCAGGTACTGCATGTTTTGAAAATTCCTGCAGCACACCGGTTGAAAATTGCTGGCTCAGGCCCTAAGCCTTAGGGGACTAGTGTATGCTGCGGAATGTGCTCATCTGCATAAAAAGTGTGGCCAGGGTTCACACCCCCCCCAATCTGCCAGGGCCTCCCGCCCCCCTGATGCCCCTTCTTTTCCTCGTAGTACTACATGTCTGCGCGCCACATGGCACTGGCCAAGGCCTTTCCAGAACACTTCACGTACGAGCCCCATGAGACTGACACGGTGAGTTGGCCTGTGGTCCCCCTGGTGGCCCTGGAGCTAGAGGGCTGGGCAGGGGGTGGAGGGTTCCCTCCTGGGGTCAGAAGGCCCGGGGCGGTGGCCGCGTGGGCTGGTCTAGGTCTAGGGGCCTACGCTCACTTTGCCCTCTGTGCTCCCGTCCGCGCGCACAGACCCAGGGCTACCGCTACCCGCGGCCCGCCTCGGTGCCGCCGTCACCCTCGCTGTCTCGACACTCGAGCCCGCACCTGAGCGAGGATGAGGAGGATCCCCAGGACCAGACGCCTAACGAAGAAGGCGAGCGCTACGATGAGGAAGCGGAGGCCGCCAAGGACCGCCGCAACATCCGCGCCCCGGAGTGGCCGCGCCGCTCCTCCTGCGCGTCTTCCACCGGGAGCAAGCGCGGCTCGGTGGACACGGCGCCCTCCAGCTCCGTCAGCAGCCCCAGCGAGCCCCTCAGCCCAGCCAGCTCCCTAGGCGAGGAGCGCAACTAAGTCCCCGCCCACACTCCCGCCGGCCTGCCTCCCTCATCCAGAGGGCGGATGCGGAAAGGCGCTGTTCCTAATCCCCACTCCAGATCCCGAGCCTTCTGTGGGGTCCGCAGCCCCGCCCCCTCCGCCATACACTCCAGCCCCGCCAACTCTGCCCTTGGAATCCCCAACACTCCAGAATCTACAACGCAGTGCCTTTCTTGGGTTCCAGTAATGCAAAATCTGTACCCTGGAGTCTCCCAGGCCTGGCCTGGGTCACAGAGACCAGGAATCTGCCAATACCCTGTCATGGTGCCAGAGGTTTTAGGAAACCCGGACTGTCGTCTTCCAGGCTGGGCTCTTAGAACCCTTTGTGGCTTGCAATTCTACAGCATACAGAGCAGCACCCTGCTCAAGTCAAGCCTGGCCTGGGGACCACCAAGCTGTGTCCCTGCTCGTGGGACAGTCAAGTTCAGAGCTGGAGCACTTGCAAGGACTTGAGTTAACTGAATGCAGAAGGTTGTCCATTTCAACTCCAGAACTCGGGCTCTAGGACAGGGCACTCATGTGCTGACTGTTCTGGCCCTCCCTGTGGTGTCGGGTTCTGCCTGGAGGATCCCTCTACCCCTGCTCCCCTCTCCCTCTACACTTTAGCCAAGCAAAGGGGGGCAGAACCACTTGGCTTCTCATTGCTACTGGAGAACATGCAGTCTTGGTCTAGATGCCTTTCTGGACCAGACCCTACACCTTCCCTGAGTCTGAGTTCTCCCCCATATCTCAAGACTCTGTGCCCTCCAGGGAGTCCCCCAGCTGAGGACAGAACTGGTTGTCTTACGACCCCCAACTGCCAGGCCCACCATGAAACCACTGGGTTCTAGGTCCCGGCTGCTGAATCTAGAACCTTGCCACTATGCTGCATCCTGGGCTAGAACTAAGCCCACTGGGTTCTAGAACTTCCATTTTTACCTCAAGGCTCTTCTATCCCCAAGCTGTGCCCTGTCCCCAGCTTTGGTGAAAGGGAGGTGCCCCTCACGTGTGCTGTGCTGTGTCTGATGCACTTGGTTTGCCGTTGGGAGTGGGGGCAGAAGGGGTATGATTGAAGTGTGTGTGGAGATGAAAAAAATACATCTATATTTAAGAATCCCAGGTCTGGTCTAACATGAAGGTTTGGTGGGCCTCTCACCTGGCTTCTCCCTCTTCGTGGCCTCCACCCTCTTTATTTTCAATTCCATCTAGTTTTCCCCCTCCCACCCCTGGGTCCCTGATTCCTTGTCTCATTCTGCTCTCCTGGAGAGACTTATAGTGCTATTCTGGATTCCAGTGTTCTTTCAAGGGAAGGTCTTGTTTAGTTGGGACCTAACTTGCAAGTAGCAAAAACTTGGGTCAAGCTCTCTTTAACAGAAAGGGGCTTTGTCACTGAAAACAGACCCACAAAGAAACCATGAGCCATGTGTGGCTCTTTAAGTTTCTCAGCACTAGCAATAAGCAAGTGTTCAGTAGCCACAGGTGGCTCATGGCTACCCTATTGGATGGTGCAGATATAGAACATTTTAAAAGTTCTGGACAGTGCTAGCTTAGGGCACGTTTCCAGGGCTCTGTGGCCTTTGGTCTTTGACTATGCTGTCCCCTTGGAGAGCTCTATTTTGGGAAAAATATTTTTCCTTTCAGCTGTATCTTTACTAGGTCATAGGTGCATCTCTGAACCAATTGCTTTTCAGGGGAGTAAAAAGCACCGATGTTTGGATTTGGGTGTGTGATCATCCTTTCTGTTAACCACTGTGTTTGTGACACACAGAGCCCCTCCCCCATCAAAATCACCAGTCACCATCAAAGTGCGGTGACAGCAGGAGCGTGGTGCTGAGTGGACAAAAGACCAGGTGTCCAGCAGCCACTTCCTCTTGGATTCCTCTACCCCAAAGAGTTAAGGGCAGGAGGTCGGGTTAACGTTGTGTAACTGGGATCCATTTCCAGTCTTTAGTTCCCATTTGGATGATTTGGCCCTGTTTCACTTCCCAGTTTTGGTCCTGGCCCCAAATCTCTGCCTCAGCAGCTCGTGCACATCACGGGCTCCCAGCCCCTCAGATTCACCTGACTCTACTGCATGCCTTGAATTGGAGAAGTATCGAAAAGCCTCTGGAGCAGGTCAGATCTGGGTGTGCCTCCTGGGTTGCCATGGGCAATTTACGTACTAATATCAACTCACCCATATAAAGGGGTTAGCGATTTTCCTAAACCTCCCCAGATAGAGCCCGACTTGCAATTTGGCACAGTACTTGGCAACACACTAAAAGGGTATGGTTACTCTCTGATATTTCTAAGTGTCTGCTTCCAGCCACCAGCCCCAGGTCTTAATAAACCAGTCCCTCAAGTCTGGGCTCCACCACTGAAGTGGGTCAGTTAGTTAGTCTGACAGAGCAGAGAACCCACTACAGCAACGCCTACCCAGGTGAGTCCCTGCCTTAGAACAGGTGGAACCCACTCCTCTTTCCCTTACAGCCCAGTGTAGCCTTGTGAAAACAGGCCCCACCGCACTTCCCACAGCGCACACACAAAACCAGCTGCTGCAAAAGGCTTTATTGTTTCCATTTGGTCCAATGCATGGGAGAGGGCTCCAGGGTGGTTAAAAGAATGGCTAGGGGTTTTGGGGAAAGGCTCAGGTAAAAGCCGGACACCAGGGGAATGCAGAGGGGCCCCCTCAAAGGCCTCTGGGCTCCAATGCTCCTAGTCGTGCTTGAGGGTGAGCCTTTCAAAGAGATACTCGCCCAACCCAGCCTGCGGGCCGGCCAGCCTGCGGAGGTTAGTCAGGTGGTCGCCCATCTTCTTGATGAGCTTCACCTCCTCATCCAGGAAGTGGTTCTCCAGGAAGTCACAGAGCTGAGCGATAGAAGAAGAGAAAATGCTGCCACTTATAGATAACAGTGTGACAGGTAGGGGCGGGGGTGAGGGAGACAACGTTTAGAAGGAAATTTGCCCCAGCGAGGCCAAGGCTCAGAACATAAGCGTCATCCAGGGGAGGTCTCAGGATGGGTAGACGTGGATACCGGGGGTACTTACATGAGGGTCTGCGCGGGCAGAACCCAGGGCATGCAGATCCAAAAGGGCCTGGTTCAGGTTCCTCTCCAAGGCCATGGCGGCTTCCATGGCGTCCTGGGTTTTGCCCCACTCATCCTGGGAAGGCTTCTACACAGAAGACAGAAGGCTCAGAACTGGCCACATAACCCACAAAGGACGAAAAACTACATTTCCCAACAGTTGCAGGGGCAAAGGGCCTAGTATCCGAGGTGTCTATCATCCCCGCTCTCCTGCAGCTACGCGTCCCAGGGGCCCACTCTGCGGTCTCCGAACTGGCGGAGCCTCCATTTCTAGCCACAAGAACCCACACGGGTCTGAAAACCTCCCAGAAGCCCTCGCGGTGCCTAAACAGCGACGGTTAAGGCGGCCCGCGCAGGGGCTGCTGGGAGATGTAGTCCACAGGCCCAGGCACTCCTTACCATCACGTCCTGGAAGAGAATGCGGCCACCGCGCTGGTTTTGCATCTTTAAGAGATGCTCAGCGCCCTCGCGCTTCTTCTCCGCCAACTCGCGGAAGAAGTGGCCCACGCCCTCCAGAGCCACATCGTCGCGGTCGAAATAGAAGCCCTGCGGGAAGAGATGGCGGGAACAATGGTTAGCGGGAGGCGAGGCCCGGCTGCAGACTCCGCCCTCTGACCATCCAGCAGAACAAAGAGGGCCAGCGCGCGGGCAGGGCCAGAAGTGCGCAGATGTGGGAAACTTGGGCCAGGGGCGCCCTGGGGACCCTTACCAGAGAGAGGTAGGTGTAGGAGGCCCGCAGATGCAAGTTGGCCAGGCGGTTGACAGCAGCCTCCACCTCAGTGGCGTAATTCTGACGAATTTGGGAGCTCATGGTTGCTGAGCAATACGGAGTTAAGGTTGAAAAAACGGTGTTGGCTGGTCTCGGAGGCTGAGGACGGCTGAGGTGGTTCCAAAGGTGGCAGCTAGAGATGTTGGACGGTGGTCGGAGGCTGGAAGAAAGGGCGTCCCTGGGTCTGTTCCGTCCAAACACTGTTGAAGCAAGAGACAGATCCGGGACCGCCGAGGGCACTGCGAAAGGGTGGCCAGGCAGCTTCTTTTATAGTGGCAGGGCCCCCCCCGAAGGCGGGGCTTCAGGGAGAGCAATTGGCCAATCCGCGGTGGCGGTGGGCAGGGTCTGGAGCCCCTGAGTGACCAATGAAAGCAGATAGGTGCCCCAGACCCCGCCTGAGAGGTGGGGAAGTCACGCGCCTGTAGCTCGAGACTGTTGTGAAATGAGGAATGGGAGGGGGTGAGGGTGATGCAAGGGTCTGAGGCTGATTCGGGATAGTCAACGGATTTGGGGGGTCTCTGTCAGGTGGAAGATTAATGGGGATACTGGGAGCCCTGGAAGATGGTGATCCTGGGGGTGTCTCAGGAAAGTAGTTTGGATTCTGAGGTGCTGAGAGCATGGACTTTTCTGGAGCCCTGGGGGTTCCTCAGAGGTGCAGAGACCTCCAAATTACTGGGGTTTGCTTTGAGAGCTGAGGGGTCCCCAGTTGATTGGGAAGTTTAGAAGACAAAGATGTTATTTCTGGAACCTTAGGGATCTCTCTGGAAGATGGATTGGAGGGGAGCCCCGGGGTTCGCTAAAGGTGGGGCTGTGTGTGTGTGTGTGTTTTGTAGTGTTAATATTCAGTGGAAGCCCTTATTTTTCTGGGAACTTCCTGAGTAAGGTCTTTAGGCCCTCAAGTCGATCTGCAAGATTAAAAGGGCGGTTGTTCTAGAGCCTTGGGGTTCACCTCCAGGAATGAGGGAGAGAGGTGTTTTTGGAAGCCTAGTGGGTAGAGGCTTTTTTCTGAGGTAGGGAGTCTTGGAGAGAGCCTTGAGAGCGAGTCTGGGACCCTTGACATACCTTGCGGCTATTTCAGGAGTCCATTGTCTTTCTGAGAGCTGAGATGGGTTGGGTGAAATGCCATGTGAGCTTTGGTGTCTCTCTGAGGCTGCATTTCCAGGAGACGGTTTTGACAGTAGCTAGGCACTGGGAATTCTCTTTGACTCTGAAGCAGTCTTTCTGAAGTTGTCCCTGCCTTGCCTGATACATGCCCCTTCCAAGTCACAGAGAAGCCCTGGATTCTGGGGACCTTGTGGATGGGATGTATATCTTCGACCAAAGTACATTTTTAAACTGTGCCAGGTCCAGGCTGGGGTCTGGGAGGCCAAGCAGGCTCAAACCAGGACTCAGCCTTCAAGGAGAACCCTGTTGTTGGTGGGGAAAGGACAGGAACTTGACCTGGTGGAAGTGCCCTAATAGAGGCTGCCAGCAGGTTGGGGCATCAGGGGAGAAGCCAGGGCCTGCTCTGCAGTGGAGCCAAACCAAGCAGCCCAGGCAGGGTGCCCCTGACCAGGGAGATGCAGGGCCAGGCTGGTGCCTGGGGTCCCTCCAGGGGTGTCTGGGCCTGTGGCCAGGAGAGCAGCAGTGCTGAGTCATGCTGAACTCAGCTCAGGAAGGGGCTCTGGCAGAAGGGCGGAGGCAGGCCACTCACTGACCTCATCTCCCGGTGGGGGTGAGCAGACTGCCCTGGGGCTGGGAACTAGCCCTGGCTGGCTCTGACCCAAGTCTGGCCCCCTCCCCCAAAGTGCCGCCTGGAGTGCATTTTGTCTCAAAATATTACTGTCTGTGTAGGTCCCTTGATGTTTTCCTTGGACTGCTGCCTGTGGCCATATTTTCCCCTCTCTAGGTGGTGACTCAGTCTCCCCTCACTGCAGTCTTATCTGACTGACATCTCTCCCTTGACTTGGTGTCTCTGGGGGGAGGGGCAGTTGCCCCAGGCACACTGTCACAATGGGGCCTGGGTTACACATTCACCAGATTTCATACCTCAGCCTAAAGACCTTTAGCCTCAGGCTGGCCCTACCAGTAGAGAAATTGCTCACAGGTAGGAGAGGAAGGGATGAGACCAAGATGATCTGGAGAACAGGAAGATATCTTGGGGTAGGAGGAGATCCTGGGTTACGGTGGAAGACAAAAGACCCACAGAGAAAGGGACACAGACCCAGAGAGACTGGTACAGAAACAGAAAGAAGGGGACAGAGGGGGACACACCTAGAAAGAGACGAAGACCTAGCGAAAATGGACATCAGACTCTGACTGAGTTAACTCCCTCCCTCTAATTTCCATTCCCTTTGTGTCTAAATCTACTAGGCCTTAAGGAACCCAACATCTCTGGGGCCTGCTCCTCTCCTGGAGGGCCCCACACAGTTACTAGGCCAGACCAGAGCTCCTCCTCCAGCCTGTCAGTCTCCCGCTGTGGCCCTCAACACAGGCTTGGGTCTGGTCTTCTCCCTTAGGCCCTCTTGTCTTAGCCTTCTCTCAGCCTTCCTACCTACCTCCGGTAGCTTCCCCATAGAGCTCCAGAGCCCTTCTCTGCTCCCCGAGTCTTCCCAAGGTCCAATCAGCACTCCTCCTCCCTATTCCCCCATTCTCCACCTCAGTAAATGTGCAACTTGCCATATGGTGGAAGCTTCCAGGCTCAGGAGGCCTGCTCTGTACCCTGCTGCCCTGTTCTCCGCCCCACCCTAGGCCCTTATGCCTTGGTCAACATCCTAAGTTGTGACAAGTGATTGCAAGTCACCTCCATTCCCCTCAGGACTGCAGGATCCTGGAGGGCAGAGCCAGGACCTAACTCATCACACCCGAAGAGGGCACCGGACACCCTCAGAAAAAGATGAGTCAGCACGTGCAGCCTGGTCTCTTGCGACAGCCAGGGAGGGGGCCCAGTGACTCAGACTCGGAAGTGTGGTTCGAAAGAGGTTTATTGCCCCCCAAAACCACTCCTCCCCATCCCACCCCCAATAATTACAAAAGTAAGAAAAAGGCCCCTGGCCCCTAGTCCCCACCCCTCCCAGAAAAATGCCATAATTTATGCAGAAAAGACACAGTCCAAGGCAGCTGATGGCCTCAGCCCATCGTCTTCCAGATGGTGAGTGAGGCAGTGAGCACTCCGGCCACTAAGATGGTCACTGTCTGCCACGTGGGTGTCCCAAAGTAGGAGAGGAGGCCGTCCTGGGGACAGGGACATCAGTCACTTCAATGATTCGGCCATGGGCCAGTGCAGGAGGAATCGGGAAGAGGTCAGAAGGCAGGAGTAGGGGCAAGGGCCTAAGACTAACAGGTACTAAAGAGTTGGGGGGGGTCAAAGGGCTATCAAAGAAGTTGAGGATTCTAGGGGAAGTGGAGGCACCAGGGAGGGCAGAAGGTACTAACTAGTCAGGTCAGGGGGTCACTGGAGGTCAGAGGTCATTGGGTCAGGGGGTCACAAAAAGGTCAGCAGGTACCAGCTAATCAAGGGTTGATCAGACATGTGAGAAAATGCATTATAGACCACATCTGATGATCTGAAAATGTGGAGTGGGGGGCACCACTGTGGTGGGCTCAGGAAGGCCCAGAGGTCCCAGAGGAGTGGGGGGGTTAGGAGCCTCACCCAACCGCCCTGGTCTTGGATCCAGCCCAGCAGCCGCTCTCGAAGGAAGTCCATGGTCCAGCCCATGATGGTCCTGATGAGCTCAGGCACTTTAGTGCACAGGGCCTGGAGGGAGTGGGGTGGGCCTTAGGGACTGAGGCTTGTCCCCAGTGCCTTGAGATAGTACCGTCAAGCATCCTTTCTCAACTCTTTGCCTCCTCTCCTGCACCCCTGCAGTTTCTTTCCTACTCAGTCAGAATGAGCTTCATACATTGTAAACTGTGCCTTGTCATTGTCAACTGCCCTGCTCACAAACTTTCCATGGCTCCCCAGTACCCCTGGGATACAACAAAAGGCATAGTTCGGCCCACAAGGCCCTGTGTGAAGTCTCTGACTTAACAGCAATCCAGATGGCTTCCTTTTGGGGCCTCACTGACCTTGGTTCTTATCTTCATTCCCACCAAACCCTTCCCTGCCCTTAGGACACTTGCACATGCTGATTCTTATGCCTAAATGGACCTCAACCAAGCGAATTTTCACTCATCCCTCAAAGCTCAGGTCTACCGCCACTTCCCCAGAGAAGGCTCTTCTGATCTTTAGGCCAGGTATGACTCCACACCTTCCATAGCCATGACCTGCTCTCCATCTCCCTGAACTTGCCCTTCCCACTTTTTTAAAAAAAATATATTTTTACTGATTTCAGAGAGAGGAAGGGAGAGGGAGAGATAGAAACATCAATGATGAGGGAGTCATTGATCAGCTAGCTGCCTCCTTCACGCCCCCAACTGGGGATCAAGCCCGCGACCCTGGCATGTGCCCTGACCAGGAATCGAACCACGATCTCCTGGATCCTAGGTCGATGCTCAACCGCTGAGCCACGCCCGGCTGGGCCCCCTTCCCACTCTTTATCTGGCTGCTTCTCCCCTCCTGTTGACCCCAGCTCCATCCACAGCCCCACCATCACCATGACTGCTGTCCCCTCACCTCCAACATTCAACCCCCATTAGCTCAATTTTGAAAACAACAGCAAGAAATCTATTTCCCCATCTCCAGTACCACCTGAGTCCAGGCCAGTCATCATTTGCAGGGCCTATTATAGGTGCCCCCTAACCAGCTTCCCAGCTGGTTCTACCCCCAATGGCCAGAACAATCTGTTGGGCTTCCCCGCCCCCAATTTTTTATCATGAGAATCTTTAGAGAGAAAAGTCAAAAGAATTTCAGTGAACAACCAACATTCTACAACCCGCAGCCCAGATTCTACAATTAACATTTGCATACTTGCTAGAATAATATCTTAAATTTATAAATCAGGTCACCTCACTCTCCTGTTTAAAACCAGCCAATTGCCCTGGCTGGTGTGGCTCAATTGGTTGAGAGTTGTCCTGTGCACCAAAAGGTCGTGATTTCGATTCCTGGTCAGGGCACATGCCCAGGTTGCTGTGGGCTCTCCCCCGTTGGGGTGCATGTAGGAGGCAGCCGATTATGTTTCTCACATCAATGTTCTCTCCCTCTCCCTCTCCCATCCCCTCTCTCTAAAATCAATAAAAACATATTTAAAATAATAACAATAAAATAAAACCAGCCAATCACTCCACCTCACTCAGAGTAAAGCTAAAGTCTTTACAGTGGCCCATAAGACCCTTCGCAATCTGCCCTCACCTCCTACCCTTTCCCCCTCCTCACTCTGTTCTAACCACAAGGGTCTCCTCATTGCTTTTAACCTATCAGGCTTGGTCTTACCTCAGGGCCTTTGTACTTGCTGTGCCCTCTCCAGATGCCTTTCCCCTAATCCTTATATATCACTGCATCTTTCTTGTCATTCCAACTTTGGTTTTATGTCACCTCCTCTTAGAAGTTTTTCCTGATCACTGCACAATCACATCACCCTAGCTTACTTCTCTCAGCACTCGTCATTCTATGTGAGCTCCATGAGAGCAGGGACCTAGCCTGCTTTGTTCGGTGCTGAGTCCTGGGTACAGAGTACAGGCCAGGCACACAGTGGGCCCAATAAATGTCTGCTGAATGAATAAGTGAATGAAGGAGCAAATAACTGGCTCATAGCTGTCTTTTTCTGGTCCCCCTGGGCTGCCACAGGGCTTGACATCATAACTCCCAGGTTCTCGTAGGTTTGAGGGGAGCCTCCCTGGGCTCACCACCCTGCAGCCACCCACCTTGAGCACCAGTTTGCTGGCAAAGTAGAAGAGGGCGACAACCCGGCCCCAGTTGAAGTTGCCATCAGAAAACATTTCGGACGCCACTCGGAAAAAGACCTCACGGGGGGAGTCTGTGTCCACAGCCTCGATCATCCTGCAGGAAAGAAGGGAGCCAGTGCTGGGGAGGATCAGGCAGAGCATGAAACTGTGGCATCCACCCCATACCAAAGATAAGAAAACTGAGGCCCAAGGCCCGCTGAAATGAAAAGCAATAGGCCCAAACAAGGGAAAGGGATAAGATGGACATTTAGGAAAGTGGGGGAAATGACTCCCTGGAGGAGGGTTTCAAGATCCTACAGGAGGAGAGGGCTGAGAGTCAAAGAGCACTGAATTGAGCGGTGGGGCCCTGGACCCCTGGGTCTGCAGGAAATTGAAGCTGTGGCCCTGGACTCAATGCTCCTAAGGGAAGAGGGGGTTGGGAGCTGGGACTCCTGGTTCCTGGGGGACCACACCTCTGCAGCTCGATGTTACTGTCCAGTTCATCTCCAATGCGCTTGAGACACTCGCTCAGCTTCTTGGTGGATGCATCCTGGGGCACCCTGGGCCCCAGGGGCAGCTGGGATGTCTCTCCCCCCATTCGCGCTGCTTGATCCTGGATGAAACTAGAGTGGGAATGGAGGGGGGTGCAGAATCAGAATGGGGGGGGTGTCACTCTTCAAATCCGCTCCGCAATAATCAGACCTCACACTCACCCCTGAAGTAAAAGGGCCCCTGTCTTCATGATCTGCTCAGAGTTGGTGGGCCCTAGAGGAGAAAGGAGGGAAGAGGTGCCTGGACTCATGGGTCCTAGGGGAACTGGGGCGGCTCATGACTCCTGATGGAGGCCAATGCTAGGGGGCCCTGGGTCTCTGGTAGATGAAGTGACTGGGGGCCCAGACAACTGTGTCCCTGATGGAGAAAGAGGCGGGGGACCTGGGCCTGTATCCTACATTCTTCCGGGAAAGGAGACTTCAAGGAACACTTAAAGCATCCTGGTCTGAGGGGACAGAGGGGAGACCCGCCCCTCCCACCAGGAAGTGGTGCCGGCGACAAGCCCGGGCTTGCCCGGGGGCTTGAATTCTGAGGTCTCTAGCTTTTCGGGGGTCTCAGAGCGCCAGGCAAAAAGGGATCGGGGCGCGGAGGCCAGAGAGCCGGGGAACCTCGGGGAAGGAGGGGACTGGAGGCTGGCAGCACCCAATCCGGGAGTTCCTGACCCGGAGTGCGTGAAGATCGCACGCCCCGAGACCGGCAGGCGGGATCGTGGGGCTGGCCGGCGAGGGGCTCGCCCTCCTCCCGCCCGTCTGCCTCCCGCCTCACCCCCGTCTCTGGGTTGCTCCCCGGACCCGTCCATCACCGCCGCTCCCGCCGCCGCCTCTCGCCGGGTCTGCCAGGCGGCAGCACGCCCCATCACGTAAGCACCCCGCTGAGCATGCGTCGGCTCACGTGACTGCCCCGCAAAATGGCCGCCGTGGGCCGCAGCCCCGCAGGGCCAGCCGCACCCCCGCCCGCACCTGTCCCGCCCGTCACGTGACTGCCCCATCAGCATTGCCCTTCAGGAACGCGTCCTGGCTCCGTTGCACTGGCCACCCGTTCCGCAGCAGCTATGGCTTTCACTCACTCATTCATTCATTCATTCATTCATTCATTCATTCATTCATTCACTGCAGTATTTTCAGAAGTTTGGGGTGTGACTTTAGCGCTCCAGGGCAGAAGAAACAGCGAGTGCACAGCGGAGAGGAGCAGTAGAGGCCAAAAATAGCACTCGTTGCGGCGGGACGTATCCGATGACGAAAACCTATGGTATTGTTGGGTGTTTGTGTGGAAATAAAAGAAATCTTAAGTTTGAATGTTGCAAAACTAATCTCTGGTGATAGATTGGCAGGGTGGGGCCCCGAGAGGCTGGCTCCCAAGGTGCCCGAAACGTCCCATATCTTGATCTGGGTGGTGATTTGCTTGCTTATACACATACTTAAAAATTCACTGAATTGTATACATAAGATATGCACTTCAGTGCATGGAGATTATTATATCTCCTTTTACAAAGAAATAAGAAGAACTTGGATTAGAAAAATAAGCTGGGTTCACATGATGAAGGATTTGGGCATAAAAGAGAAGGGATCTATGTCCCAGAGGTGGCTGGGAGCCATGGCAATAGAAGATTATAGATGTTTCAGTCCATCAGCCTAACATCACCAGGGACATAGTCTGATAAAGTCAAGTTTATTGGATCCATTGCAACGATGGAGCCCCATGCAACAGAAACCATGGAGCATCTTGACAAAGAGAAGGTAGAGTTATTATAGAATTTGGAGGAAGGGTGGAATTTAGGGAATAACTAGAGGATAGGCTCAAAGTGAAGCAGGGTCAACATCAGGCGGGGACTGTGAAAAACCAGGGTCCTGTATCCTTGCAGGGTCCTGCACCCTCGGAAACTACAAGATGAATGTAGATGTGGATTGTTGGGTCCAGAATCCTTTTGAAGCTCTGCACCTGGGTTAGAAATCGGGGCTGCTACTTTGTATCAGATGGCTTAGATCCCATAGGCAAGAGTGGGATGCTTCATGTTTCCTGATGGAATGTCCAACACTTCATGATTTTAAAGAACAAAGTTTCTCTGTGAGTAAGAAAGCATGTCCTTGGGAGAAATGATGTTTCCTATTAACTTTGAAGCTGGCTTTTTCTATGACTGTTATTGGAACCTAGTGAATTAGCCCCTCCCTCTACCTCAGTAACAGAGACCTCTAAATAGTATAGCCAGTGTGCAGAGGGCAAGACACTTTTTAGATAATTCTGAAGTCAAAATTGTTTACCATAATAAAGATGCTATATTGAAACTGTGTAGCCCATCTCCAACATGGGCCCCACTGATTCTCGCCTCCAGGTGTTCATACCCCTTCCACACTGGATAGGACTGGCCAGTGTGACTAGTATGGTATTGTGGCAATGACAGAGTATAACTTCTTTTTTCTTTTTTTTTTAAATCCTCAACCAAGGACATCTCTTCCATTGCTTTTTCAGAGAGAGCAGAAGGGAAGGAGGGAGACAGAGGAACATCGATGTGAGAGGGACACATTGATTGGTTGTCCCCTGCTCACGCATCGACGGGCTCGACCGCTGAGCCGTGCTGGCCGGGCATATACCATCCTTTTTAATCTCACCAGAGGGTGGTTCATACTATCTCCCCTTTCCTGATGAGGAGACTGGCAGAGAGGCTGGGTTGAGTGCAGTCAGGGACACCTCCTACCCACATAAGCGTGCCCAAGGTCACACAGGCCAACTGTGGATCTGCCCACAGGTGTTTGCTCCAGGAGTTTGTGGGTAATGTGGTCTTGACCCTGCCTTCCTCCCCCTCGCCACCTCCTTCCACCAAATTTATTCTCTAGTGACCCCTTTGACGGTGGGCTCTCTCCAGCCCCCACCAAACCATCACCGCCAATATCTCTGTGGAAACCATGCCTTTATTTATTTATTTAGGGCTTACATCAGTGTTTGTCTTGGGGGAAGGTGACTCCAATGGCCTTTCTCACCTCCTCAAGGATGTCAGCCAGGAGCTCACTTTCCGCCAGGGGAATCACAGGACTTTCCTTCAGGCCTGGGGAGAGTGCAGTTAGAGAACCCCTCCTAGTCACACCCCAAGGACCGAAACAACTAAAATTCCCAGAATACACAGTTCAGGCAAATGGTGTCTGAATGGGTCCTGGGAGAGGTAGTTCTTTTTTTTTTAATTCTCACCCACGGATATTTTTTCCATTGATTTTTAGAGAGAGTGGAAGGGAGGGAGGGGGAGAAAGAGAGGAGAGAGAGAGAGACATTGTTTGCCTCCCCCATGTGCCCCACCCCGGGCCGGGGGATCTGAACCTGCAACCCAGACATGTGCCCCTATGGAACCCACGACCCTTCAGCCGCCAGGCTGATACTCTAACCCCTGCCACCTGCGCCCCTCCGCCCCACTGTCCTCCACGTCCTTACCTTTTCGTAGGCACTCGCGGACATGCCTGGCCTCGTAACTCATGCCAGCTCCGTTTGTAAAATTGAACTCCTTGCTTGGGGCTGGGGGCAGCGGGAACTCCTTATGCTCTCCCTTTACCACCAGCTCTGTTGGACACCAGCAGGGGGCGAGGATCTGGGGGGAGATCAAAAGTGGCCCCACAGCCCTCACCAACAGAGTGCTGGGGGCTCCTGCCTGGTGATGCTCAGGGGCTCCCTCTCTCACCTGGTGGTTAAGGACTGGCTGCCCCCATTCATCCTTAGGGAGGTTTGGAGCCCCCCAACCCTGTTGCTGGGGGGTTTGTTCCTTGGCAGCAATTATCTCACTAAAGCAGGTCTGTTTGTGGCCCCAGGGGCAAATCCCTTTTTAACAGGGTGCTTAGGCCTAGTGAAGACGGCTTATCTCCCCACCTCCCCTTTGACACAACCCAGTACCTTCTTAGCCACTAGGAGAATTTCTTTTGTTGTTTTTGTTTGTTTGTTTGTTTGTTTGTTTTGGCTCCAGAGCCCTGGGAAGCCTCAGTTTTCCCCATACCCAACTCTAGGCCAAAATGGAAATGTAAAGATGCAGCCGGGGCAAGGTCCAAATTCTTCTGCTAAGAATAGGATTTCTTTCCAGCAACTTGGCCTGAGAAAGCCCATTAAAGCCACTCTGTGCTAACACCTAGATCGTGTCTTGGAAGCAGTTTCAAAGGTCGCCACTGCCCTCTACGCAGGGTTGATGAGAACTGGTTTCCTCTCAGGCCTAAGGATTTTTGACAGACCCAGTGGTTCACCGTCAGGAAGGAGCCTGGAGGTCCAAACCCCATCCCATGGCCTGGTAGTTGGGGGTGGGTTCCTTAGCAATGGTGTGAGAAGAAACTTGTTCAGCCCAAATCCAGCTCCAACAGCTGCAACTGGCCCACTCTGCTGCTAAGGGCCACCGTTCCGGGCACCTGGGCCCGTCCCACTCGGCTGGTGGCACCTCACCTGGGCCATGCCCTTGGTGCCGCTCACATAGGCCGTGTTGGAGAGCTGGGCAGTGATGCTGCAGGTGAAGCTGCCGTGGACCCCTCCTGGGTACTGGAGTAGCACAGTGACGGTGTCATCCACGCCTGTGGAGAGGCATGGGACAGGGGCGAGCCTGGCCACAAATCCTGCCTGTGGGACCTCAGGCAGGAGATCTGGTCTCTAAAGTGGCAATGAAAGAGAGTGAAGCCCTGGCACATGCCACCCCATGAAGGAACACTCACACTGAAGGAGTGAGGCCACACCCCAAAGGCCACATATCGTAGGACTCCACTGGTGGGAAATGTCCAATATTTGGCCAACCATAGAGCCACAAAGTAGATTAGTGGTTACTTAGGGCTCAGCGGTTTGGGAGAATTGGGTACTTTTTGTTTTGTTTTGATTTTTACTTATGAAAATATTCTAAAATTGATTAAGGTGGTAAATGCATAACTCAGTGAATACACTAAGGCCATGGAATTATACACGTTAACTGAATAAACTGTATAGTATGTGAATTACTTCAGTAAGCTGTTACCAAAATACATAAACCAACAAATAAATGCTAAACATAAAATTAAAGGGACTTTGCCTCTCTGAGCTTTAGTCTCTTCCTCTATAGATACTTGTATATGCGCATGAAACTCCATTTCCTCGTCTCTGAAATGGGGGGAAGAGCAGAACCTGCCTCATAGGGTTGCTGTAGGTGTTGCATTAGATGATATAAAGGGCAGAAAGCAGTCTATTTAGATCACAAGAGAGAGATGAGCATTAAGTAAAAATTAAGTATAGTAAAGTACTAGCCCGGTTCTGGGACACATCGGGCATGTAGTGGCTGGAAGACCTACTGAGCCAGCTCTCTTTGGTTTCAGATAAGCCCAAGTTCTTATTCTGAATTTGTTGTGTGAGCCTGGACAAGTCACTTCCCCTCTCTGCACCTCAGTTTGCTCATCTTTAAACCTCAGGGAGATCATACCTATAATGACCCTGTTGCAGAGGAAGCACTTAATAAGTGGGATCTTCATTAGAGCCACTATTTAACCTAGAAATTGGCCAGACAGTAGACTGAGACAGCTTCTAAAGTGTGACCTTTACCCCATGGACTCCTTTCCTAGTTATTCATTGCCTTCTGTGGTACTATTTGCAAAGG